TTCCTTCCTTCCTTCCTTCCTTCCTTCCTTCCTTCCTTCCTTCCTTCCTTCCTTCCTACCTACCTACCTACCTACCTACCTACCTTTTCTTTCTTTCTGCTCTGATGACAATTTAAAGCAAGATGCCAAGGAAAATTTCCCACTCAAACTGAGAGATTAAGACAGATTTCTCTTCAGCTCAGCTGTCTCTCAACCACAGCACACTCTCGCTCACAACATGCAACTTACTTTTGCAGGACTTCCCATCACTGCCAAGGCTGAATCCTGAACGGCACCGGCAGGTCCTCGTCTTGTGACTGTTTCCAAGGAGACAGATGTCAGAACAGCCACCTGGTTTTCCAAACTGGTCCACTTCACAGCCATGACTCCTCACTAATAACAAAATATTCCCAGTCAGTTCATGTCAACAGGTATTTATTTCAGTTTTATTCTGTTGTGTTATTTAAGATTGACAATAAGCAACAGGGACATGTAGAGACATCCTTCATATACCATAATTATGCAATAGTAGAGAATTAATACCTAGAGCTGAATTGTTGGAGATACTTTAGAACAAAGTCAACAGCTGTGTGCATTTTAATTCATACATCTATTCATACTATATTTTATTTATTTAGTGTCTTCAAGTCAGTGTTGACTCCTAGCAACTGTTTGTTTGGCAAGGTTTTTTGGAAGTGGTTTGCCTTGCTGCTTCCTAGGGCCGAGACCCAAAGTCACCCACCTGGTTTTATGCCAAAGGCAAGAATACAATTCATAGGTCTCCCGATTTCTAGCCTGATTCTTTAACCACTAGACCAAACTGGCTCCCCATTCAAATAATGCACATTGTTCATAAATAACTCTTGAGTTCCTGATTTCAAGGTGAGTAATAATCACAGCATCACCTTCTTGTTAACTAAAAGGCTTACAAGTTGCTGAAATATCTACCCAGCAAACATCTACCTGATATTTCAGAGCAAAGAATAATCATATTAATTGTTCTGGTGGAAAAAAAAAGTCTGAAGGAAAGGCAGGGCAAATATTGGCCTGAGCAAGTGGGATGTTTCTTTCTTATTTATTTTTAATACATTGGAAATATTTGTACAAGTTTACATAAACCATAAGCTCAGTGTTTAAAGACTGTGAACAAAACAGCCAGCAAATAAACGTGCAATTAAAAAGACAGCAAGCTTAAACTGTTTACCATTTTAGGATGAATAATTGGGGGGGGGGGGGGAGGTGGTGGAAAAGCAGGCTGCTTGAGAAAATCGCAGGCATTTGTGCTGCCTTCTTTCCCTCCCAATTGAGCCTTTTTTCCAGTGTCAGCATAGCAGAGTTGCCAATAAAGCAGCAATTCTGACACAGGTGTCGGAGGAGATGCCCGTTTTGGAGCTCTGCAGCCACAAGCAAATGGAGCACAGCAGCCACAGGAAAGAAGGTGTTTTCCCTTCAGAGGCAGTGGGTGGTCCAAAAGAGTAAAGTATGGAGGTCCAGTAAGGCAAAACACAATGTAAAAAAGAGTCAACATATTGACCACTGATCGAAAAAGAAGAAGAATTTTAGAGAGGGGACTTAGGACAGAATAGGCTTAAGAAAGAAATGTTGATGCATACTAGTAAAAGTATAAAGCACAATGTATAGGTAATAGTAATAGAATATAGATTATTGAATATTAATATCATAGGAGAAGAGTGGGGAATTATTTTTTTCGAGGGGCCACATGAGAAACTGGCTGCCACCGTCACAGACCTGACAGGGACAAAGGACCAGCTATAGCCCCTGGGCCATAAAATCAGGGGTGGGATTCTACCAGTTCATACCTGTTCGCTAGAACCAGTTGTTAACATTCTAAGCATTTCGGAGAACTGGTTGTTAGAAGAAATTACTGGCCTAATCCTGTAAGGAAGGCAGGAAGGAAACATTCTGGTGTTGCTTATAGAAACTGCCTCTCTGTTAACTCGTATTACATTCTTGGCAGGACTAGATTTCCTGTCTCAGTCTCTGGAGTTTTTTTCCCCTCCTTTGCTGGTACTTTGCTTGTGTGGAGTGACCATTCAAAGCTACAATGGCACTGAAAAAAGTGACTTATGACCATTTTTCACGCTTATGACTGTTGCAGCATCCCCACAGTTATGAGAGGCTAGGTGAGGAGATGCGTGCCTCGATATGAGAGATATTGAGTTGGCCACACCCAGCCAGTCACATGACCACCAAGCTATGTCCACCCAGTCACATGACCACCAAGCCATGCCCACCACCTAAGCCACGGCCACAGAACCAATTGTTAAAAATTTGAATCCCACTCCTGCGTAAAATGCAGAAGTCTGGTATAGATTATACAATGCAGTTCATCCTTCTCTTTCTCTTTTTCTAGAAGTAGTGCTAGAAGTACCACAGAGTGTGCGGCCATGCCAACCTTTAAGGGTTACGATAAAATTCTCACAAGACATGAAGCAAGCTAAATTTCAGCTTTATTTGTATTTTCAATATCATAGGCATTTTAAAGAAATTGGAACACGTGCCCTGTTCCTTGTGGTTTAATGTCCTTCTTTGCAGCTGGGATTACAGAAATAAAGTTAAAGAATGAACTGATTTAGTTTAGAGTCAACCAGTATGAAGAGGGTTGAAGCCAACAAATGGCCTAATTCAGTTAGTATAAATGTAAGTACACCTTCTTCAAGGATTGCAGGAAGAGAAACACCAGCACACTCTTCCAAAAAGAAGTTTTGAGATTCATCAACATCATTCTTCTAGGTTGAATTTGTATCAATGATCAGTAGATGTTTTTATTGGTATTGCTTAAAGTTAATTCCACCTCATTTTATTGTTTTTATTTTAAGGGAGATCTACAATATGGTTATTATCTAGTCACCCTTCTTGGCATTTTTGAGAATATCAGAGAAGGATACCTAACAGATCATAATGAAGTGAAATCAGTAGAAAACCAATGGTTATTAACCAATGGTTAATCCCTCTGACCCAAATGACAGAATTTATTTCAGAAAATATTTACTGTCTACCCAGCAAATGAAACATCAGTCCAACCTCCAACTGATGGAACATGGGCGTGAACTTTATTAAAAGAGACTTGAACTTTTCTTGTTGTGTTTCTAGAGAACACGGAAAAACCAGCTAATTATAGTCACACACCATTTTGCAGGTTGATTATTTATAAAATATATCCATTGCTTCAAACTGAAGAAACTCTATGCAGCGTTAAGATTAACAGTCAAATGATATCACCGCAGATTACAGGACAATAAAATATCATCCATAGACATCGTTAACAATCTTAACCAAGATGTCTCTGGGACCACAAAGAAGATAATTAAAAAGAATTTGACACTTCAAGCCATAATTGAAGCACTGACACAGTGTCCATGAAGGAAAGAACTTGTGTCATGGAACAATCACTTATTATATCACTAAGTACTGAGAACTCTCATTCACAATAAAATAGAAACCTGCTCTAAGAAAGGTATTTGAGTGTGTAAGAATCCTCTGACTAGAAGTTACAAACCAAAGTATAGATGAATAAAGATTGTAAGTGATTCAATATACTGTTCCAGGCAGATAAATGATCTCTAGAACTTAAAACAAAGTATTGAAGATGAAAACTAGGCTTCTGGCACTAAGGATTAGATACAGAGTAGAAATGTAGTGCATTTTTTTCTCCTAAACAAAGAAAGTAATAACTGCACAATTATGGTGCAAATTTGGTATGTCAGTGTTTTTAAAATGCCTTTGCTTTCTGACATTCAAAGTGTTTGTATAGGTAAACATGATTATTGCCATACTGCATAAATGGGTACCACTATGTATGGAATAATATGAGTGAACTAAAGCCACGTGGGATTTTGTGGCAGTAGAGGTATTGGGGCCAGAAATTCCTGCTTTGCTCCCCACTTTCTTAATCAGAATCTGAAAGGGAAAATTCATGGAAAAACATGAATTAAATCCCTTGGTACTAAGTCTCACATCATGTAGAAAAAAGGATATTTGCACATATCAACTTCCATATACTTTTGATGTGCAGTCATATTCTTCGATTAACCTGCTAGGCTGAAGAAATTATTTTGATTCACCTGCAATAAATATGTTTCTCAAACTTAAATACCTGGAAGAGGGGTTGTTAGAATATTGTTAGATAATTCTTGCAATGGTCTGACAGTTGAAATTTCCAATTCCAAAGATTTGGTTCCAAAAAGTTGCCGAGGTCAGTAAAACGAGGGCCCAAAATGGGGGCAATGTGCTGACTTTGTAAACCGCTTTGAGAGGGCTGCAAAGCACTGTGAAACAGTATATAAATCTAAGTGCCATTGCTATTGCTATCCACCATGAAGCAAGTTCCCAAATATGGAGTAAACAGCCTGGACAATCTGAATTATATTATTGTGTCGGAAGCTACCAAGAGTCAGAATGATATTGGCAACACCTAAATTAGACAGAGAGAGCCTAACAATAAAGATGTTTAAGACTGCAGGCTTATTGTAACATGAGTCTTCATGAACATTAAACTCATTCTTAAAATCTTCAACACAACCAAGTGCATTCTGTTTAACAAAATCCATCTGTCACTTAGCTAACATCATTAAAACGTTGCAGTTTTATCCCGAAGCTATATTTCCAAAGCCAAAAATTTAGCTTTGGAGCTTTGGTATTATATAATTGAATTCCTTTTTAAGGTCATAGCAGCATATCTTCTGTAACAGTTTGGAACAACCAAAGAAGCTGTGAAGATGGATGATTCGGAGGACCACGCTATGTAACAGGGCCACTTGCTAGAGTTGGGCAGTTATAGAAATTAAATGACCACATAAATAAATGGGAACAAGAATGTACAATAATGGCTCCAATCACCACATATCTTAAGATGGCATTAAACATTAAAATTATCATTTTATTAAAAATTAAAATTATTATAGATAATCCTTCCAACATACAGTATTTTGGTTTATAATTCTAGGCAATCCCACTGCTTTAGAGGAAAATTTTGAATGGACATAAAGTGATCCTTAATTATAGCCATCTGCCTATAAAGAAATACATATTGCAGAACAGCTGTTCTAAAACTGTCATCGAAAAACATCTCATACATTTTACTCAGATCAACATACCATATATATAATAGAGCTTCCATAAAAACAGAAGTGAGGTCCAGAGCATCAGAAAAACAGAGTGATAAAGGCTTCTCTAAACTATCACGGCCCTAGTTCAACCACTTCTAGGGGTGACCCATCAGCCATTCTGCTACACATTGGCAGTCAATCACTTTCCTCCACAGCATAACCTTAACACATATCTGGAATGTCTATACAGCTTCTTGGGACATTAAAAGTACAGTGACTGGCAGATATGAATGAAAACAGAATATGGGAAAGAAACAGCTGAGGACATCTTGGTGATATTAAGGGAGCAAGATATGACTTGAAATCTGGTTACCCTACATAAGGCCATACTGAAAACAGCTGGGATAAAAAAGCTGACACAGTAACAATCAATGGATTGCAAATAATGGACAAAGCCTTCTGATGCTCTGCTAGATTTGGGTGCAAAGATGTCTAAATGGAGTCTATATTCATATATTCTGGTGGATAACTATAATTATGAATATCATTCTGCTAAATACACCTGTGGAAAAATAGGTGCAGATGCATACATAGCTGTATTTTCCTGACCATTTGCCTGAAAAAAGCCCAGTTTTACATTCTTTCACAGAGCTAAGTGATGAAAGAGACTTCGAAAGTCAAACAGAAACATTATACAAGCAGCTAACCAAACAAACCCCATTAGAGTTTTTCCCTTATCCCCAGACATTATGATTTCCTTTATCTACCTTTGGGTTGCCGTCGCTGGTGATAGACATGTAGAGCTCCACCTTTATCCACCCGTGTTACCACTTGGAAGTCACTACTGTTAAAACGATTGACCCGGATGACGCTAGTTTTCTGCTGAGTGTTGGCGTTGTCAGAATTGGTGGCATACAGGTAGTTCTCAAAAACAGTCAAGCCATAGAGATGCTCTATCTACAAACAACAAATGTGGTTTTACAAAAACTGAGGAGGCTAATGGGTAGAACTGAAGATCTGTTTTCCTTTGCTTCAAAACATTACAATTCAGATTTTTTTTTTAAAAAAAGGAAGAAGTACTAGGTAGTCTTTTCAAATTCTTCGGTATTGATTCTCTATATTATTTATAATCCCTATGTTAAAGGCCCCCATCATTCCACAATCCTCTGAGACAGGTACTTTGTTGCGAAACAAGAACTGGTTATTCTCTAAACTAATCTTTAATTAGGTTTTCCTAACAGTGTATGAGAGAAGAGATACCTATTGAATACAGAGTTGGAGGGGATCTTGGAGGTCTTCTAGTCCAACTCCCTACTCAAACAGGAAATCTCACCAAGAGAGAAAACAGGAAATCTCATACCATTTCAGACAAATGGTTGTTCAATTTCTTCTCAATCTCCAATATTGGACCACCCTCAAATTCTGGAAGAAAATACTTCCACTGATTGTTCTCACTGTACAAACAACTTATAAGCTCCTTAGCCCCAATATGAAGACTAACTATCTTGGTCCATTAGCTTTGGACCATCCCCATCAAATTAAAGCAGCAGCATGATGATGAAGGACTGAGGGACTGTAAGAGCCATATTATAAAACATCTGGAAAACACCTCTCTCATTTTATGTCTATTTCTTCAGAATCCTGCTCATCAGGCTACAGTTATGCCAAGGCATTGGGACTGCATACTCAATACAACTTGAAACCCTGCCAGTGATGATTCCAAAATATAAAGATTGTATCGGGTGGCTCAACAGCTGCACATAACAGCATATTTCACAAGATCCATGTTCTACAAGAGCCAAGTCCCCTGATCCCAGTTGTACTCACCAAAATACCCTGGATGATTGTGTGGCGATTTTTTCCTTCATAGTCCACCACTTCAATGTAGTCGAGGTAAGCATCAGCCCAATAAACAAGCCGACTGACCAAGTCCAAGGTGATTCCATGGGGGAAGACAATTTTGGTGTCGACCAGCTTTGTACGATTCTGCCCATCCATGTCACAGCGTTCCACCTTTGGTATCTGTCCGTAGTCAGTGAAGAACAGTTTCCTAAAAGGCAAGGAAAAGGGACATGAGGGGCTCTTCCAACATAAATGAAAAGTAAATGAGATGCATAAAATAAATAAGGGGGATTAGCAATTGCATTATATAACTAGCTTTATCAATCATTTATAAAAACATACAAATATACGTATGTGAATGCTATACAGTAAGCTATCTCTGAATAGATCTAATGAGAATGGATAATATCTTGGTGCAGTCAAAGTCCAATGAGTAGTTCCAAACCGAGGCTGTTTTATTTTCTATACGCAACAGTGATACATGTGCAACTCCACTTTTTACTTATTTCTGTGTTTCTCTCCCTTTTTTCACAGGTTAAAGCCCCCCCCCACCCCGCAAAATACCACCACACCAAAATTAAAGAATCGAAAGTGTTATGTAAGTTAAATCATTAAAAAAACCACTGTCACAAATGAATAGACAATGGGTTCTTGCCTATGCTTTGCTTCTTCTCCATCTGCTAGAACTCTGAATTCTGGCTTTTCTCCAAACTCTTATCAAATATGTACATTTGTTCCTAAACAGCAGCAGTAATACTTAATAGGTCCCTCCCCGCCGCCTGCCGCATTTATACATACAGTAACACATTCATTCTCAACTCTGTTTTCAGGCCTAACTGCTACAGTAGTTTTCACCTCATTCCTTGGTGTGGGTGTGGGGGTGTGGGTGTGGGTGCGTGGGTGTGGGTGTATGTACCATTAAACATGCAAACATTTAAAATAAAAACAGAAACTGGGATATGGGTTAGCATCGACCTAAAGAAAGGAAATCTGTACAGCTCTACAAGGCAACTGCTTCCCACTTTATAATACAAAAGCAGAATTCTATTCTGAACGGTGTTATTTCACACACTGGGAAGAACTTCCATTTTGCCTCAGATGTGAAAACCATGAGGTAAATTGTGTGACTTTTACAATACCCAAGCTTTAATTAAACCACCCGTGAAATCTCTAGATTGGAAAGTCTTCAATTAAATACAGAAAAACAAAAAAAGTTCCGTGCATTTCTATGTAAATATATACAAAAGGCACTGCTGGGTTGCAACCCTGTGTGAATTGGAACTCTATACTCGGTTGGATCTTTTGATTAAATGCAGATATAAGACACAGCTGAAAAGTAGAACTCGCTTCAAAGCTATCCTTTCTACTAGTAGATCATGATTCTTCAAGTCATATCTGGAGCATATGCATCTTTCCCAAGTGCTGCCAGGGCAAGAATTTTCTTCCAACCAGTACTTTTAAATCAGATTTCTCCAATGTCATGTCCCTTAGATGGGTTGGCCTTACAACTTCCAGGGACTGTGGCCAAGATTTATGCTGGCTGGGAATTCTAGGACCCGTATGCCAAAGTATCTGGAGGCAGTAGGGTGGCTGCTTAAATAATATGCTTGTGTATTTGTGTTTTTTTTTTAATTACTAGTGGTACAGAGCTGCTTTGTACGAAGTTTCACGGAAGTCAGGGAATTATCAGGGAATTATCCACTCAGGTGGTAGAGCTAAGGCTTTGGAAGGGGGGGGGGGGATGTTATATCTCCAGCCTCCTTAGCTATTGAAGAAATAGATTAAGCTGCATTTGGCTAAACCAATTTTTCATATTTAATATGCAAATACTCTTTATACGCAGAGAAAGCAAGTTACATACTGATTTTTTTAAAAGCTTGTCTGCAGTTGGGTATGCAGTCCTTATAATAAACTTATAAGCTTTTTTTAGCCCTTATAAGCTTTATAGTTTTAAAAAACTGAGCAGTCCAAATCATATGCTCTGCTGGAAAGAAGTCCTATTGAATCCAATGCGATTTTGTTTCTGGCTGTTGAGATTACAACCTTACTCTGAGACCAACTGCCTTGCTTCTATGTTCTATAGGCTGCAATCCTGAACTCATCTATTGGGGAAGAAGCTCCACAAATTTCATTATCAGCAGATGTATCAAGTCATGCTTTTAGCGTTTGGGAGCTGGCTGGGAAAGTAATCAGCGAAGAAAGGAAAGTAGAACAGGAGAGTTTTTGGTTGATCCGCTCCAGAAGACAAGCCATCCAGCTGTCATAAGCAAGAATTAAAATGAAATTGCTATAACCAACAGCCAAGGAAAAATTAAAAGTAGCTATCCCTCCTCTCTCCATGACTAAAATTGAGGAGCACATTCAACGATGGGTGTGTGTGGCAAAAATGAGTTAAGAGAGAAAAAGACAGAATAAACACTAGATGGCAGTCAATGGTGCGTACACGAAGCCATTTCCAAATACTGCTATCTTTTAGGCTGCAGGGGGGGGGCGGGGGGGAGCAAATTTGGAAAAGGGGCCTCCTGAATATTAACTATGTACAGAACAATAAGACCAAAACATAATGCTGTGAATATATAAGCATACACGTTAAAGGAAAAATGACAATGTCTTTGGGAACAAAATCTCAGAAGGCAGATAATTACAACCATGTAGATGTGGATCTCACATTTAGCATAATGAAATACCAGAGAAATGCATCAAAATGCAATTATGCTGAATGTCCTTCCCATCCCCATCATTATTCTGTCTTCCTCCTGTCCTCCCTTGCCCTTTCATACACAATGGCGTATATATGTCTTTTCTTCTATAAAGATCAAGGACACTGCTGAATCTATTTGTGAATAAACATATGTGAGCCTGAAGGACAAATGGCCTGCCAAGACACCTATGGACAAAAAGTCCAACCATACTTGATGGGCGAATAAGAGAAGTAAAGAAAATCCAGGCAGTCAGGATTTGAATTGGAGAAATTGTAACTCTGATAAATACATTCCATGAACCGTTTTCCCAAAACATTATTATCACGCATCTTCAAACATGTTCTCAAAGGTACATCCGCATAATAAAATGTGTTTGTAGATCATCATAGTACAGAGGAGGAAAAAAGCATTATGGGAAGGAGTAAAAATATAGTAATAATACATTCATAACAATTGATAAATTCATAACAATTCATAACAAAAGTGCATTGTAGTGTCCAACATGCTGATCTTATAGGGCCTTATGGCAGGATCAATCCAAATAGTGAGTATTGCACAGATCATAGAAGTGATGCCATTGTTCCTTTAGCAGTGAGCTGGCTTATGGCAACCTAATTTATGCAGAGAAATGCAAAGCAGACAAAAGATTAATGAGATTTTCAGGATTAGTTTAAAAACTGCCACAGGCTAGTGAAAACGCTGTTTAAAATGAAATGGAAATTCATAAGAGAATTGATGTTAACTGAGTCTTCAGAAGAAATCTGAAGGAAGTACAGTGGCTGTATGTGCAAGGAAAGTGCAGGTCCTCACCATAGAGTATAGCTAAACAGAAATAGATAAGTGAAAAGTGAGAACCAAACAAATGAGGTTAGTCAGAAGTGATATTCAGCAGGTTCTGAGCAGTTCTGGAGAACTGGTAGCGGAAATTTTGAGTAGTTTGGGGAACCGGCAAATCCCACCTCTGACCGGCCTCACCCTCATCTATTCTCTGCCTCCCGAGCCCCAGATGATCATCTGGGTTTTCTTTTGTTGCCCTCCACAGGAGAATAAAGCTGGAAATAGGTTAGTGGGGTGGGGAGGGAACGGAGATTTTGCAGTATTTTTCCCCTGCCACGTCCATCAAGCCACGCCATGCCCACCAAGCCACGCTCACAGAACCAGTAGTAAAAATTTTTTGAATCCCACCACTGAGGTTACCATGCAGAAACTTTTCCATTGTCATAAGATATAATCAATCAAACTTTGGCTGTAGATGAATAGCCTGTGTGGGTGTTTATATTGCAACATACCGGCACAAAAAAAGGGCAATCCCTAGATGTATTCAAGTTAGTATCATCTACAAACAACCTTGAGCTGATTGAGACACTTAGTAATGACTTATACTTCTCGTACTTCTTGTACGAGATGACTTCCCTGTTCTCTTTCTCTGTTTTGTTTTTTACAAAACAGCTCTTCAAATATCCAGCCACCAATGGTTGCAATGCCCATACAATGATGTGCCATAAAAGTTCCCTTTTTAAGTCACATCAACATTTTCAGTTGCACCAAGTACGAGTGAACATCCAGATGTTTCCCTATCACCTCCTTCCTCTTTACAGTAACATGTCACCAAAAGCAAACAGCTGACCACGATTCCACTTGCCAAGAAATACAAGAGTCAGCACTCAAGTGCAATTGATCCCTGCATTCAATATGCAAGGAACACCATCTCCTTATGAAACCTCTGACCACAAAGAGTATGCATGAATGGCCTACAAATGCAGGAATGTAGCCATATATTTTTTTGGCCAATGGACTTTCCTATATATTATTAGAGACATTTCTGAATAATATGGGTTATTTGAGAATGGAAGGCTATCAAGATGGCAGATTCATCTTACAGACTTTTAAGCAAAAGACAGAATATCACCTATCAAGCATCCTGTAGCAATTGAATTTCTGCAATAGTGAGTTTTTGCCAGGTGTAAATTTAGGAAGAATATAGAGTCAGAAGTTTTCTCCATCCAGTCCCCTGGATATTGTGAAGTACATTAAAGATAAGCCCTATAATCTATCAACTTTATCACTCACTGAACTGATTTAAATTGGAAATTATCACTGTTTTCAGAATACAAAATTACTATTCCCTCTGAAACATCTATAACTCTGCTAATTAATTATTTCAGCTAAGATTTCTAATTGTGTGATAATTCAAAAAGGGACCCTAAGCAAAAGAAACACTTGCTGTTTTGTAGCAGCTGCTACTCAGATATATTTGGCACTGACAAGCACTTAAATTAATTATTCAAAGAAGAAAGTGGTGATTTTGGAGAAATGATCAAGCATAAAAAAAGGTATTTAGGTATATTTAGGTTTCTACCTGGACACGATCTCGACTTGAAAACCACTGAGGAAATCCCAATTTGCATCTATTAAACTGTATGCTGCAGCTTCACGATTTGAATTTTATAATTTACACCTCTGCCAAACATGACTTAAATAAAATTAACTGATATTAGAAGCTTGG